GACGTCTCAGACGGCGGATCTCCTTTGGTAAATGCACTTGACCCTTCTGTGCTGCAGACTCCACAACCATCACAATCTGCGGCAGGGGTGAGCATCACAATCCAGATGAACATGAAGGGGGCAGGTTTTCTGCTTTGTGACTCTCCTTTCCCATTCCGACTTGGTAATACAGGACGTCTCAGACAACGGATCTCCTTTGGTAAATGCAATTGACCCTTCAGTGCTGCAGACTCCACAACCATCACAATCTGTGGCGGCGGTGAGCGTCACAAGCCAGATGAACATGGAGGGATCAATGCCGTACAACTTGCTGGCGCTGAAGGATCTCCTGCCACGAGGACTGCCGTGGACCGGGTGAGAGTGGAATGACTGTCTAGTACATTTATCACAAGCAGCAGGAGAATCCATGAAATTCAATGCAGAGCAAGTTGACAGGGTTTCACGCAGTTCGCGGAGTAGTGCAGAGGCCAGGGCTCGATCCCCAGACCTTCCCTAGTAAGATGTGCAGTGTCCCGTTGACCCGGTGAGTGCTTGAACCCACGACCTGTCCCTAAAGACATGTACAAAATGTTTGGTGTGAGTAACCTAGGTCATGTAGATTTGAACTGTACATCAGTGGTTTTGAACTCTTAGGGTCATCCGTAGATTTCCTGAAGAGGTAAGTCATCCGTCCTCTGTAGGTTTAGACAGTCGTGGCTAGGCCAGTCTCCGAAGAGTCAACTTGACCTTTCGCAACGTAGAAAGGCAGTCTGTCGGTCACCGAAAGGTCAATGGTCCCAAGTCAACCCCCAAATGGCAACAGTAAGGCAGTCCCAGTCCACGCCTAGCTGGCAGCAAGTACCAAGTGGGAGTGCACATCCTACGGGCCTGGGACATCGGACAGGCCCAGACCACCAAACGAGAAGTATAAATAAAGAGGCAGTGATCAGCCCAGCACTCATTATCTGGCAGACTACGAGGAAGTGCTGCCCAAGTGATTTGTGCGTTGGAGTTCGCCAGTGGTCAGCCAGTGCCCGAAGGTGGAAGAGGGCGAGCGGCCATAGCCACTACTAGGAGGGAGACGGCGGTGGCCATCGCCGCCTGTGTAGCAGATAGGATATGTGTGTAAGTGTGTTTGTGCGCAGACATTCAGGGTAGATCCTACCGTGTGTCTACGTGTGCGCGAGTGAGTGGGGTGAGTCTGATGGTGGATACAGTGTGCAGGTGGGAATTTCAGACTGACGCCATAGCCACAAGCTGTGACAAGATCATTTGAGCTGAGTCCTTGGCTGAAGGCCATAACTCTGAGTTTTCCGTGTGGGCGCCCTGCGCCAGCTCACTCTTGTTGCAGATCCTACTTCGAGGAAGTTGTTCTGTCATCGGCACCTGCATGTATGCATGTTGAAAGTGAAGTTGAAGTCAAGTCTGATTGCAAAGTGCAGACAGATCATCTATCTGCCTCAGAGTCTGCCCATGCGACAAGGTAACTGGAGAATATACTCGTCACCCAGAATGCTTGACCTTGAATGTTCAAGTATCCGCCCGGTTGTCTTGCTGTGCAATTCACGGTCCTACCATTTCCTGTTTTCCTGTCGATTGACGATTATGTCAAGTGCTGGTGTAACGAGCGCATGGCTGAGGGAGACAGGGAGAGCCGAGGAAGAGGGGAGAGAGAGGGAGAGAGTGAGAGCAAACACACACACTCACTCACTCGACACGACTGAGGGTCGGACGCAGACACAGTGGCAAGGACACAAAGTCGAAGTCCTGGATTCCGAATGCCGAAAACAGGAGCAAGTCACACTGAGTCCGAGTACAACAGCTGAAACTGGTACGAGACTGGTTGCCCGTACTGTACGGGGAACCGGTATAAGTGCCAGTGACACGTACGGTACCAGGGGCATCTCTGCAAAAGCCCCGAGGGCAGAACTGAAAAATGCGGTATTTGAAAGTGGCATCCGAATCGTAGCATGGCGCCAGTTGTCCAAAATCCGACGGTACTAAAGGAGGGTTTGGAAAAAGGGTGCCAGGCCACAAACGGGATGTAGCAAAAACAGCAACAAAATAGACCAGGGGTCGGGCCTTGGCGGAGTCTGTCACACTATCCCCTCCCTCTGAAAGGCAACGTCCCAGCTGCCAAAAACCTAAGGAAACAAAAAGGAACTGTGAAGGATGGGACGGGGCCGATCACTGGTCGGAAAAAGAGAAGGGGAGTGATGCAAGTCACAGGGTATTCTGTCAGATGTTCTGCACAGGTGAAGGTATGATGTAACTGGGTAGGTCTACAAGGGAAGCTAAGAAATGTTCAGGGAACAGGGGATTTCTATTGATGTTCCACTGGGTAAGGGGAAACAATGTCCAGGAAAAACAGGGAATTTCTATTGATGTTCTAGTGGGTAAGGGGAACAATGGTCAGGGAAACAGGGGATTTCTATTGATGTTCTAGTGAGTCAGGGAAACAATGGTTAGGGGAACAGGGATTTTCTAATGATGTTCTACAGGGTTGTCAGGAAAAATGAAAGTGTTTGTTCAGGATGCAGGGGCTGGTATGTCCGAAGGAGTGGGAAGCAAAATCTCATGTAGGAACAAAGTGTCCAAGTGTCTTGAAAGGGGATCTGCAGCGGTCTTGATCAGGTCTTGGAGTAGGTGGTAGAAGCGGTCCTCAGCGGCTGCGGCAAGTAGAAGTCCAAGAAGTGTAGCAGTAGTTCAAATGTCCAAAGTCCAAGTGTTGGGGTGCGTCCGGTACACGAACTGCAATGAGGTCTGATCAGGAAGGAAGGAAGTCGCAGACTGATGCAAAGATCCATGTTACAAGTTGCTGCTCTAGTAAGTCTGCGGGTCGGGATGCCGGCCGATGAAACAGCATGGTGGCCAAACCAGCTGCATAATCTCCATGATCAGTGAGAAAGCAGGCCATCGTCCTCGTGCGTTTGACATTAGATCCTTATCGTCGGCGTCACGCAGGTCCACAAGCATTGGACCAGAGTGACAAGGTAGTGGAGAGGACAGATGGGACAAGGCTAGGCGAAGGCAAGGGCAGATCAGACATCAGGAATCAGGGTCGAGGGGAGGGTGGGCTGGGTTCAAGCGTGTGTGTAGAGCAGGGTTGCGAGGTTGTAGCAGGGTTTTAAGCGAGGGTTTAGGGTTTATGCCGGGGTATGGTTAGGATACAGGGTAGGCACGATCATAGGCACGAACAAGTTTCATGGCATTCTTGAGATTATCACGGGGTTCCCATGTTGATTCTTCATCAGGGTATCCGGTCCATTTTAATTTGTATTCGGTAATTGGTTTCGGGTGGTCTGATACTTGAGTTGTTCTTCGTCGTATGATTGATTCGACTATGAATTTTGGGCGTGTTGGAAGCATGATTGGTGGAGGTCTAGGATAAGGGCAGTAAGCGAATTGGGGTGGGAATTCATGGTATTCCTTGAGGTATTTTACGTGGAAGACTGGGTGGACGCGACACATGTCAGGTGGAAGCTGAAGTTTATAATTCACGGGAGAGGTTTGTTCAATGATGGGGAAGGGACCGAGCCACTTGTTCGAGAGTTTCTTGGACAAGCCTTGTTCTGGTTCAAAGCGTTTGGCAGAAAGCCAGACTTTGTCCCCTACTTTGAATGACACGTCACGTCTGTGTTTGTTAGTCTTGTTTGCTTGTTGTTCTTGTGTTCTTTCAAGGGCTTCAGTTGCTTCTCGGAGGAGTCTGTTCATTGTTGCTACCCATTCATGGAGAGAGGGGCAAGGGGTAGAGGGGCTGAGCTGCGAGGGAAGCAAGAAATCAGAGGGCAAGCGGGGATGGTAGCCAAGGTCGAGGTAGAAAGGGGACATGGCAGTGGAGGGGCAGACAGCGTTGTTGTAGGCAATATCGGCGGCTATGAGCAATTGATCCCTGTCATGTTGGTCTAGGTGACAATACTTCCGCAGAATTCTTTGGAGAGTATCGTTCATCTTCTCGGTCTGGCCATCGGTCTGGGGGTGGAATGCAGTGCTATACTTTAGCGTGGTTCCGTAGGCTTGGAAGAGGTGTTTCCAGAACTATGATAGGAAGCGGGGATCGCGGTCACTGATGATGTTCTCGGGGAGACCGTGGTGGCGAGTGACATGATCGAAGAAGAGTATGTCGATGTCTTTGGCATTGTGCGAGGTGGTACAAGGAATGCAGTGGGCGCGTTTGGCCAGACGACAAACAATGACGTAGATGCAATCATGCCCACAGTCGGTCTTGGGGAGGCCGCACACGAAGTCCATGGAGATGGACTGCCACCTCTGGATAGGGATGGGCAATGATTGGAGCTTGCCGGGCTTGGCCCGGTTTGAGGGATTAACGGCCTGACAGGTGGGGCACGAGCGGATGTATGCTTTGACGTCGGCGAGTAGAGAAGGCCAATGGAAGTAGCGGGAGATGATGTCGAAGGTTTTATGGAAACCGAGGTGGCCAGCGGTCTTGGCGTCGTGGTGCTTGGCCAAGAGCTGGGTACGAAGACCACATGCGTCAGGGATGCAGAGTCGACGAGTGCCCTTGGTGTCAATGTAGAGTAGATTGTCATGGAGAGAGTAGTCAGGGACTGAGTCAAGGTTGCGGAGTTGGTAGTAAATGGAAGCGAAGTCTGGGCAAGAGAGGTAACCTTGCGTGTAGCGGCGATGTAACGAGGGAAGTAGTTGAATGTGGGTCATGGCAGCGTAGACTTTCTCAGGGGGCTTGTGGTTAGGGCGGCGGGAGAGGGCATCAGCAACACGGTTCCTTTTGTCGGGGGGGTGGCAGATGGTGAAGGTAAACTGGGCAAGGAGGGGTAACCATCGGGCTTGGCGGGAGGTGATGTCTTTCTTGGTAAGGATGGAGGAGACGACTGTGTTGTCAGTGCGGATGGTGAAGTATTGCCCGTCGAGGTACGGGCGCCAGACTTTGAAGGCGTACACCACGGCTAGGAGTTCCTTGAAGTTCTCGTTGGAGGGGTAATTCATCTCCGCGGGAAGGAGTTTCTTGCTAGTGAAGGCAATGGGGTGTTCGTCGGGTGGGGACTTTGAGTGAGTAGGAGAATCTTTGACAGAGGGGATTTCGGTGGGGTCAGGAGGGAAATGCTGGGACAGGACAGCCCCAATGGCGAAGTTTGAGGCATCAGTGGTGACGAAGAAATGGCGAGTGGGGTCAGCGATCTTGAGGACGGGGGCGGAGGTGATGAGTTGCTTGAGTTGGTCGAAAGCGGCTTGGTGTCGTTCAGTCCATGTAAAGGACTCAGTGGCGCAGGTGAGCTCATGGAGAGGGTAGGAGACGTCGAAGAAGTTTTCAATGAAGGGGCGATAATAGTTGGCGAGTCTAATGAATGAGCGAAGTTGGGTCAAGGTGGAGGGAGGTGGGAACTCGGCGAGGGCGGAGACCTTTTTGGGGTCCATGCGGATACCGTCGACCGAGACACTGTGACCACGGTATTCTATGCTAGGGGCAGCAAATGTACACTTGCTGAGCTTGGCGTAGAACTTTTGTTCTCGAAGGATGGAGAGAACTTTGCGAAGGTGTTCGAGGTGGGATTCGAAGGTGGGGCTAAAGACGAGGATATCATCAACTTGAAGGTAGATCACGACACAGACTTCGAGGAGGTCGCGAAAGATATGATTCATGGTAGATTGGAATGTGGCGGGGGCATTGGTGAGTTCGAAGGGCATCACGAGGAACTCATAGTGCCCAAAGTGAGAGCGAAAGGCGATCTTGTGGGTGTCCTCCTCGCGTATGCGGATCTGGTGGAAGCCACTGCGGAGATCAATCTTGGTGAAATACTTGGCTCCGCGGAGGCGATCAAGAAGCTCGGATATGCGAGGGAGTGGGTACTTGTTCTTGATCGTGATCCGGTTCAGGGCACGGTAGTCTGTGCRCATGCGGAGTTCCGAGGTGTCGTTCTTCTTAACGAAGAGACAACTGGTTCCGAAAGGGGAGGAGCTAGGCTTAATGAAGCCTTTCTCAAGGAGTTCATTAAGTTGTCGCTCCATCTCTTCGGCCTCGGGGACGGAGAGTTGGTACGGGGGGCGACAAGGAGGAGAGTGGCCGGCTCGAGATCAATAGTGTGGGATAGACCACGATCGGGAGGTAGACCGGAGGCAAGGACTCGGGGAAAACATCTTTGAATTCGGAGAGGAGGGTGGTGATGTGGGGATCAGAAGGAGGATCTTGGTCGGGTTTGTCCGTTGGAACCAAGTCATCGGGACTCTCGCGGAGAGAAGGATGTGTTTTCATTGAAAGTGAGAAGTTTTTTAAAAAGTGAACATAACGAAATTTAGTACTGATAATTAAATTGCTTGTTTTTTTGGGAGACAAAATAAAATTCTGATAATGTATTCGAAAAAAAGAAAACTGAAATACGATAATCATCAACACATTGTATAACAAGTTTACAAAGCATAAGTAGACACACATCGGAAATTTAAAAGGATTTGAAGTATTAAAGACGAAAACTAATTTCACTGTAAAACATTAGAGAAAAAACAAAAGTTTATAGTAAACAGAAAACAAACACGAACTTGTAAATTTTTTCAAAAATCCATAACGGAAAAAACAAGATAGTATTGGCAAACAGCCAAACAAAAGATTTGTAATAAGCTACGATTCAAAATCGAGGCATCATCCGACCACACCCCCTTTTATTAGACTGCTCAGTCCCCTGAGTCTGCTCGTAATTCGATATTCATGAATTAAATCCTGCTAGATACTCTCAAACCATGGAACACCCTAGTCTCACTCTTTTTTTAAAATCTTGTCCCCACGTACTCAAATGTGTCGTCTCAAACCATGGAACACCCTAGTCTCACTCCGTTTTTTAAATCTTGTCCCCACGTACTCAAATATGTCGTCATTGTCACCGTCTATAACTCCATCCATATGACAATCTAAGTAAATTGGAAGAACGTCAAGCACCTGGTCAAGCGAACACTTTATTCCATAAATCGGTTATAACATTTTATTCTAAAAACCGATAATTGCAGGAAGCATACAAGGATCAACCGAACCACAAAATTAATTATCATGTATATTCGGCCAATACAACTTATGCCGAAGGGAGATGTAGTCGATGTGAGACATTGTGCTTCATGGGCAGCTAGTCCTACAAGAGGCCATTACTGGAGTCTGAGACGCCTCGAAGAACCAAAGCCATATAATGTTCTCATCGGCGATCCGAACATGAGGTACTGAGGTGCCTCGGCGGTAACCTTCTTCGAAAACACAGAAATATATTTCATGCGGACGAAGTTGGAAGTTCCTAACAAAGATCTCCCTATAGCGTCCCGTGTAGCGGTCACTTTGATTTCTACCTCGTGCCAAGTTGTGACATCATCCACCTGACCGCCAATTGCTATATCCCACTTCCCGTCAACTTCACGCTCAACTAAACTTATCCCTCTCCTACCCATGGTCAACTCGTTTCGCGATGCATACACAACATCGTCACTCAAGTTTCTATTCTTGTTCAAGCAAGCAACACAAAACACCCTGCAGAAGATAAACTGTCCCAAACGCAACCTAACACAACAGTACGATACTGATCGCGACAACATCCCCGGACATCTTAGAGGATACTGCTCGAGAAACTGACAGTGACGAGCACAATCTAACAACTCCTGTTTCATCGCTGAACACTAAGTGCGCGGTGAGGTCGTCACATATTTACAGTTCAACAAATTGTAATTGTGATGAAATTTCAACTTATTACACAAGTGACGTTGACAGATTGGACCAAGGATGTCATCGGCCACGGGAACGAGACCTCCCCAATCGAGTTTATTTGCAAACTTATAGTCATTAGCTAATGAAACTTGCTAACTACTTTCTCCCAGTGATACTCTTTCCTGTTGTTCAAGTGTTTGTCGATGTAAGGCAAGACCATCGTCCAAGGATCCGACTCGAAGTCCTCCCTGCTCGCACCATCGATTTCAGTGCACTCGCGCGATCGATGAACGTGCAACACACAGGAGGGACAACAGACAAAGAACAACTAGAGAAGAGGAAAAACGAACAACATTTGTATCATATGAAACAAACACAACAAACACTTGTTTACAAACCATCATAATCAAATCCCGCTTCATGACGCCGGACTTACTCATTCTGAATATTTTCTGGCAGAGTTAGACACGCAAGTGTTTTCTCTCTTGTCGTCTTGGGGATGATGATACCATTCTCGACAGATAATTTCTTCGACGTCCACCTCCAGATAATACAGTCTGCATGCTGTCATTGCTCCATTGATGTCATATCCTTCGTCCAAGTCTTTTTCCACACATTTGTATATTCTACTGTGAGGCTTTTCACGACAGGCTGTGGTACCCAATACTCAATTAAGAAATGATTGAAAGTGGGCGATTTCTCGTTGTTGTGTACTGTTGAAAGTACCCTTCCCATCCACACAGGGACACCCTGATCAAGGTCCTCTTGTGAAGGTCTCAAAAGAACAAATTGACCTTTCTCCACATCCGTGATCAGATTGAGCTCAGGCTTGGGACGCTCGTTAGCCGGACCAACGAAAATAGGTCCGGGCACTGCTTCCTTTTTAATAAGGAAGTCAATATCGACATCATCATCTTTGTCATTGACATTCTCTCCGAAAATTGGCCAAAACCCAGCTTGAAGTGTTTTGTTCTGGTTTTCGGGCTTGAAGCGGTCCTCAACCATTCCTAGAAAGGACTTCCAGTAGGAAAGACTTGTCTCATTCGAGAAACTCACCTCATCTCGCATACCAACCCACTCATGTCTTTTGTTCTCTAACCAACTTACAAAAGTTTTTACTCCTTCTAAACCTGAGAGAAAATCTTTGTTTTCCTCAGGTAGAACAGCCAAAGGCTCAAATGACCATTGTGGTCCTGCGTACCTCATGTTTTCATCTCTTCGGAAGCAATAGACGGGTGCAGACCGTTCAAGACTATTGCAATACTCCTTCCACACAAAGACAGGGTTATCATCCAACATATAAAATCTGAAAGTGTGAGGACGTGTGTGCCCTGTCATCCTCTTTACTAAATACGGCTTTATACTAGCGTGCCAATCTGCAATTTCCTCCATGAAATTGCATGCAGTTCGTTCTTGTCGGGACGAAGTTACAAGACTGAAGAGATCCAGCAGAGTGAATGCATCATGCATTCTCAGCTTACGTGAGAAATGACTGAAAGTGGCGTCGACATCGGTGTGTGTATGCCCTACCAGCATAAAGCCAAACTCAACCTCTTTGAAAAACCCAAATTTCACTAACGATGCAGCCAATGCTAACACGTATCTATTTTTGTTCTCCCTCCAACAGTTATCTGCCTGGATCCGGAGCTTCGGGGGAAGTGGACCACTCAACGCTTGGACATCACGAAGAACTTTCATAACGGAGGACACGACTGCATTAGAGTCATGTGGATAACAAGGGAACCACGTATGGACGTGAATGGAAGGTTGACGCCCATGTGCTAGAATTGCTGTCAAATTCGTTTTCATCATAGTCACATTGGCAAACAATTTTGACCGGTTCTCTCCTCCAAAGTGTGGAATACTGGTTTTGTTTTGGTCCATGCCATCAATGATGATGCATAAACTATCTGAGCCATGTTTCTTAGACTCCTCCTTCCATACCTCATAAGTTGCTCGATGTTTTAGCTGCAACTCCAAGTGCTTATCACGCGCTGAAATGAAGAATTCGCGAACTCGCAGATACTTAGCCGAGTTTATGGATTCTTTGTACTCGACACACTTTTCACACTTCGCAAAATTTTGGTCAATATTATGGAACCTCACATGCCAGAAGTGAGTCCTCCATATAGTGTAGAACACTCGGAGAGATACTGCAGGGACATTTGAGTTGTCCAGCTGGACTTTCAAAATTTTGTAAATGTCAACCTTGTTGTAACAAGCCGGCAATTGCAAAATCACTCTCGACTCACCATTTTTACTTTTCATATCGTTTGGCTACTATCAGCATTATCACGTACAAACCTGTTGAGTTTGCCGTACATAGCGCCATACGTGGTCAACGTACGCCGCAAGCCAGTACTACCGTGCTCAGGCATTACATACCCTTTCCCAAAAAATTTCCGATGTTTAAGAAAAGTGTTTCTACAGACACCCAAAACATAGCACCAAGCACTTATACAAATCTTTCGTTTCCCAACAATAGGTTGCACTATCTCCTTATCATCTTCGATGAATGTGAACCGCTTCAATGTCTCTACCCACCAAGCATTTTTACTCTTGAGATCCTTGGTATAGTATGCACTGCGCACGGCTTTGACGTCATCCTTGGTCATCTTTGCACAACACTCACGTTTACAACACTCCTTTCCACGCACTGCCGCTAAGGCTTTGCTAGTCAGTTTCGTATGCACAATACTCAAAATAGCTTTCAATCTCTGGTTTCTTTTTCGATATGTGTACGAATGCTTCTCTGATGGCAGACGCTTGGGAAACATATCATTAAAGTTAGATATAGTATCCGAATTGTCATCCTCCTCGTGAAGAGGAGAAATTTCAAGGCGATGACAGATCTTATCTGGTGAACTATCTGCACTCGAAGAAACTAAACTACCCGAGGACGACACCTCGGACAACCTGTCTACACGGACGTTGCCTAGTTTCTCTTCGCTATGGCCAGAGCGGACAAAACTATCAAACATTGGGAATTTGGCATCGCCATTGGAGCATTGAGCGCGTCTAGAGCAGCCTAAAGGTCTGACCTTGGCAGACGGGGAATCTGCAAGTAGCTGAAGTGAACCTCTTGGAATGAAAACTACTTGGGTTCCCTCATACATTGAGCTGTCAGATTCGAAATCGTTATAAGGTAGCACATCTCTTTCATCTTTGTGCATGTCATCTTTTGATGAGGAGGAGCTGCTACGTCGTAGACGACGCACTGCAGGAGAGACACTTTCAGAAGTGACCGTATCAAGTGCCTTATTTGACATCCTTTTGCGGCCCGACAAGACAACTGTTGCCATTGTAGCATCGTTGATGCAGTTCAAGTTGTCTTGACTTGCATGTAAGGGGGTCTGAGAACAAGGGGGAATATGTGGATGACGGTTCGCTGAGACGAATGTGTTGGAGCCAACACAATCGGTAATGGGCGATATGTTGTTCATAGCTGGCAGTTGCGGATCCACTGTCACATGATCATGACACGCCATGTTTTCTTCAATCAACCTGCACCTTGAAGGAAAAGGTAGGTGTAGGATAGGAATCGAGACAAAATGAATTTTAATTAGACAAAGAAGAAAGATGTGATGATTTAGCATATGTCGGGTGAATATGTTAGGAGGATAAACACCTGCTATATTGCAGGAAAATGGAAATACGGACGGCCATTGGGGGCTTG